AAAAAAAAAAAAAAAAAAAGAAACCCAGATTCAACCCGATACAGGAGGAAAAGATGGGATAGTCTGCTACGAGTTGAGCCGTTACAGGAGGCGGCTTTAGACTGGGAGGAAAGAGGAAATAACAAGCGTAAGGCTAACCAAAATAGGTAAGCCTGCTGTGACTCATAGCCTATGAGGCGATTGCAGTTAACGACTGGTTGAAGCAGAAAGGAGCAGTGATCTGTACATGCCACGTGGCGCTAGGTCTGCAAGAAGCAGCGAAAGGAGGACCTCAACCGCTGCTTCCTGCCCTGCGCATCTGTAACAACAGTATGGGACGCAATCAAAGAAGGGTGGGCTACCAAGACAGACACTGACCTGCACGTCAGTGAACGCGAGATTCGGATAGGAGTGCCACCGCTAGACACACAGACATTCCGTAACTCTTTTTTTTCTCTATGAGACTCTATCTATATAAAGGGGATAAGGCGGGTATCATGTAACAGGCCCATGTGAGACCCGCCAACCGGTGGGCCCAGGGAAGCCGAAGGCGAGGGAGTGTTGAGGGAGGGCCATGCCGAAAGCGCAGAGGTTTTGTTTTCGTCCTATCAGACTCGCTTTCTTCTTCACTTCGCATGCATACAAACAGATGGCATTCCACACTGGGCTTGGGCGCCCACTCAAAGCTCAGAGATAATCACACTGAGAACACAGTTCAGATACAAACTCGCTTCCAACCAGCTATGGCTCTTGAGCGCCACACATCCTCTGTCCGACACTGTGTTCACCCAACTGTTCACACGCACTCAACTCCGGATCTCCCTGGATATCCCACGCACATAAACTCTGTAACACACACACACCCACACACTCTGACTAACACCGATTGCTAGCTATGGCGGCAATGGCCGCCACTACCACTATCTACAAGCAGCTATGGCTGCGCTAACTCCACCTCAGCCCACTTCGACTCCAGGCCTCTGTAGACCACCTTGCACAAGACGCTAGGGCAGCGCTTCCGCATGGCTCACGCAGGAATGAATGAATGGCTGGACGCTGCCTCTGGATTTATACTTCTGTAAGTCGCTGGTCTTGCTGACAGTCCCTCATGGTGCACACAGTTCCTCATGGTACTTGCTGACTGTACAAAGTGAGACTGAGACTGGGTACCGCCGACTAAGCGAAGTTGGACTCACCACTTGCCCACTTGCCTCTGGTCCACTGTGTATAACGTTAGAAGAAACTTGAAAGGCCACGTCCGGACCTTCCGGAAGTCTGTGGATTTGGCCTTTCAGGACTGTAGCAGCTACGACCTTGACCTTTCAGAGTTGCTACGGCTACGGACTCTACACAACTATGACCCCCTAGTCGACAGATCTACAGATCGAACCCCTACTGCTACACAGCCCTACAATAAGCAACAGTCAACTACCAAAACACAGATCACGGGTTCAAACACACACAGGGGATGACTTGATACTGTACACGGGTAAGGTGAGGTCTAGGGATCGATCCCTGGGATCTGCATCTGTTACGGCAAAGGTGAAAAACCGTTTCACTGCACTGCTTGCCACAAGCCAGACTGCCGGCACTGCTGCCCTAAAGTGCACGTAGCCAGTGTCCTGTGCCTTCCCTGGCCTGCTCTTTTTCTCGCCTGGCTGGGGTCCAGACTCCCTGACTGGTACGTACTTGTGACAGAACCTCACACTCGGTGCTGCTTCCCTTTCGGAGTGGGGACTATGATACGGAAGGGCCCAGGGAAGCGCGGAAATGGGGGTGTGCCAAGGATTTGTGGAAGAAGGGGGTTGGAGTTACCACGTCGGAACTGGAATCTCTGGTGTAGGAGTACGATGAAGGCAAGGGACTAAGGCGATGGACCTTCACACACACATACAACAAGGCAAAATACAAAAGACTGGACAGAATTCAAAAATCACAACGGCTATGCCGGGCTCTGCGGCGTCTTTGCCCAGGTCAGAATGGTGTGGGGGTGTAGGCGAGATCTCTACTTTGAGCGAGCACTCGACGACGTGCCTCGCAGAGTGGGAATCAGACTGACGCAATTGCGTTGCCCTTTCCGCCATTTCCAGCTCTCCGCGTGGCATGTAGTCAAACCCTCTCTCTCAGATCCTCGCTTCATTTACAGTAGGAACACAATGTTCGAGGCCAG